GTTCGTTCTTTTCCCTTTCCTTCTCTCTCTTCTTCCTCCTCTCTCTCTCCCTCCTCTCTCTCCTCCTCCCTCCTCTCTCTCTCTCTCTGTCCTCATTTCACCATCACTCATTTTAGATCATCGACATTCAATTCATCTCAATCTTCATAAATATACTTCATTCTTTTTTGATTAATCACTTCGATTAAGAAAATATAAAATATATCACATATATTAATATGTTACTGTTTCAAATATATCACAATAATTTATTTTATTCCTTCTACATTGGTCAATTTATTAGATTAAATTTTAGGAAAGTGATGAAATAGTGAATTCAAGAGGGATTAAACGAAAACGTCAACGTCATGATTATGATGATATAGTGAAATGTCCTCGAAGGATGGATTATAAAAAGACATGGTGGTTTCGCTCCAGCGAAGTAATTTCTAATAATTATTCTTGTTTATCTTTTCATTCTTTATCACCACTCAATACCATCGATATATGTGCAGTAGATTACAAGGGAGTTTTTTTTAATCGAATTTTAAAAAAGAAAAAAATCCCCAATTTTTTTCTTAGTGGTATTATAATTTGAGCTCCTGTTGATTAAGAAGATGTAAATATTAAATTTTCAACTTTTTATTACTTATCAAAGTGATGCGAATTTTATCACTTAGAAGAAGAATTTTGAATACCAAAAGTTATTCATTCGTGAAAGGAAGCATGATATGTCCTGTGCGTCGAGTCGTCAAATTGTGAGAAAGGTAGCTTTTTATTTTTGAATATCTCGAATCGATTATTCCAATTGATAATATCGAAGAGTTGACAAAAAGATGAGAAAGTGATTGGTTAAATGTTTCATTTATATGATGCGATGGAAGTGGTAAATCTTCTCTTTGAAATGATAATACTCAATAAGGGTAACTGATTCTAACATGGAATTAATCGGCACTTGAACATATTTATTTAGCGCACTTATTTATTAGTGTATTGACATAGTTATCTATTAGTATATTAATATATTTATTTATTAGTATCTTTACTTGCTTCAGAATATTAGCCTACGGTTTCAAAAAAAAAAGAAAGAAAACCGCATCTCTAACATCTCTAAGTTTGTGATAGTACATTAATTACGGGTTGGATAAATAGGATTATCTTACAGAAGAATTTCTCATCTGATCACACGAAATCACCTTTCAATTCACACTTAGCTCAGCTTTCAATAGCCGATGAGGCTAATATAACTTATAAAGATTTGTAGAATTTATCCATCTTAATTCATGTTTAAAGTATTTACTTACATGAGAAATTAGAAGAATATAATATTAGCATAGATGAGTTTTATTGAAATAACGTTACATACATTGTCATTTTGATCTTTGCAACAATGATAAAATTAACACTTTTTCAGGTTTACCTGCTAAGATTATCAATTCTTTTACTGGAAAATTGATTTGTATAAAAGTTTCAGAAATCAGGAAAAAACAACAATCATATACCTCGTAGATTGATTAGAAAATACATCGAAATGACCGCTGATGGATTTACTGCTACAACTAACCGTACTCGATCTGTCTCGCCAATAATTGACAAAGTGTTGCGAGTAATTTCACTGTTGTTGTTTTTTCTTTTTCGTTTTGGATATTGCATTCTAAGGATGAGTGAAAAATTGTCATCTATAAAATTATATTTACTTTTCTTTTAATCGATTAGTTTTGACAGTAAGCTTAGTTCAGCTATTATCTGCAACAATTTTTTCACCATACTATTATTTATAATATTGAACGATGGATAAAAAAGAGGAAGTCTAATTTTCCGTTCAAGTTTTTAATTTCGTATTGGAAAACAACAATTAAAGGAAATGTAGTGAAAAAAAAAGGATTTATTAGAAAATCTGTGAAAATTATACGTTTTATACGCTTATTTTCAGAAGCAGCAATTTTATGGTGTGATTGATGATGGAAATTTTCGTGATGATCAGAACTTTTTAAAAGGAACAAAAATATCCGCTGCTATAGCACAATCGGAATTAGCATTTGTGGCCAAAAAATTAGAAGAAAGCTGTGTTCTTCGTATATTTTGGATGTGAGTTGTATCATTTTTCCAATAACGTTATTTACCTTCTTATACATTAGAAAGTTCTATAGGATTTATGTAAATGGCTTATTTTATTCTTCCAGAATATGTATATATTTTTTCTACAACAACAAAAATCAGACAATTATTAGCTACTTTTCCATCTTTAGAATGAAAAAGTTTTGTCTTTTTTACAATTAGCTGGAAGAGGATGTTTTGTCGTATTGCAATATTGAGATTATTTTTCTTTTTAAGCTGAAACTTTTATTGATTCTTTTTCTTTTTCCAAACCCTATTTTCTCCTGCTTTAAAGGATTTTCCTTTTGCTCGAAAATATACTTACATCAGGCTATTTTAAATATTTTCGTGAGCATTGCAAAATTAACACTTAGATGAACAATATGGGTGCTTTCTTTTGGATCAGCTTATTTTCCGAAGGCATACTTATCTGTTTTCAGGAAAATTCGTCAGTACAATCTTCAGTCACCTTTACAGCAAATACGAAGAGCAAAAGCAAGTGAATTAAACCATATTCTTTTTAGGATTATTCAAGAGGTTGGTTCTGTTATTGTTACTTGCTTATTGTTATTTATTGTTTTTCAGTAATAATAATATGTTACTGTTGTCCAGTACTAATGATGTCCATCAATGATTATTTTGTAAGTGATGGATTTTGAAACAAGAAACATTATATTATACTCGCTGTCCTGAAATACCTTATTTAGTAGTCAGGAAAAAAATGATACTGGAAATGATGAGATTGATTAATGATATTGGAAGTTGATTGAGATTTGATTACGAAAAAAAAATGAAATGAATAAATGAGTTGAGCTGTTAAAATCATACAAAACAATTCGTCTTAGTTGAAGGGTTTCTACAGTACAAGTTAGCTTCAAATATCAATCATTGGAGCGATGCTGATATATAAAACGATAGCTAAGCCCTCTCTTTCTTTTAAAGATGAAATATTGAAAAATTACTGGTGGAAGGTTAATAAATTGTGATTAAAAACTTAGGATATACCTTTTTTTGCCGATTTAAAACGGAGTATTTTTCAGAGTAAAGATTTCGAGAAGCATTATCTTCTGTTGCGCAAGTGTTTAATAGAACAAAACGCGTTTGAATTTCTAAAGCAGTTACGAATAATGAAGAGATGGTGTATTTCAGCATCTGAAAATTTCGATGAAATTGTTTTCGTAAGTTATATTTTCAAAAATTTTCAAGATTACAAGAAAAGGAAAATGGTGAACTACCTATGACTTTAACTACCAGTGTTTTTTTTTCTGAGATATAGAAGAATTATAGCCCTATCTTAGAAATGGAAGTGTTTAAGAATTTCACTTTATGTAGACATATCGTTCCCTGCTTGGAATAGAGAAAATATAAGAATATTCTGAGTTAAGGGAAGTAAATGCAATGATTATGATGCAATTCATAATGGATTTTATTTGAACTAACATATTCAATGAACATGGCAACTTCCAAAAGATTTATAAGGCACAAAATATTTTCATATTATTTAACTGTAAAAAATCTGGCAAGTAATAAATAATTGGTAGAAATTAATATTATTGAAAGGGACAAAGATAAAAAGTGGCCAAAATTTAACACATAACAATGGAATTTATCAGTGAGCATGAATAAATGAGCTTATAATTACAGCAAACATAACATTTATGAATTTATTTCAATATTTTAGGCCTTGTTTACAGCCAATGAAAATATTTCTAAATTTGTTCAGATGTTATCCGATAATTGCTATGCACCAAAACATCATAGATGTGGGTAAGAATTTCTATCAATACGTTTTCTTCATATCACAATACTTTAATTAATACCTTCTTCCATTTAGCATTTAATAGGTATTATTGATTTCTGATGCTTTTATTCTTTTCTTTCCTCTTTCTCTGCTTGTTTTTTTTTTCAGGATTTTCAAAATTTCATTATCATGCCTTTCATTGGAATATCGAGCAAAATTATTTGAACGCTTAAATTATGAAACAAAACACCGCCTTTTCGATATTGTCATAGAGATAGGCTGCAATGGTGGTGGATTTTGTTTTCTTGATACACTAATCAAATATGGTATTTTTTTTGCTTTTATTTTTTGGTTTTGATTCTTCACTTATATTTGTTTTATGCTGAGATGCAATTCGGCTATCCGGATCCGGTTATTAAAGAAAATCAATTGAGTGTGGCCAAGAATTCTTGATGGTATGAGTATATCATGAATATATCAATCCGGTAGTCTTATTCCTGGTAGTCTAAAAATAAGTAAGAAATGTGTTAATAACATAAGGTGGAAATGGATTTCTCGAATCAAATGCATTGCTTGCAAATAAACTGCACATAATAGTTTCAAAATAATTATGATGGATTAGAAATCATTCCTAATCTTTTCTTTTCCATTTAAACTGGATTATTTAGTTATGTTATAACAGTTGTATCTCCACTATGCAATTGTTTACAAACAAGCAAATAGTCTCTTGAAACAGGCCTTTGTTTCTTTTATTTTAATCGTCGGCTAATTTGTTAGTGAAAATGAGTTGAATATATTGAAAAAAAATTTTAAGGTATTAATATTGGTTGCACGAAAATTCATCATATCCAACAATGCGTGCTGAATGGGAATGAACAAGCAGTAAGTTGTTTATAACTTTAATTGTTAGTCATCAGATTCGACTTTAATGTCACACATTAAAATGTGACACACATTTAGTCAATTAGATGCTTAGTTTAGTTAATTGTTTTTTAATATTCAGTATGAGATATATTTTCAAAGTTTCAAATAAGCCTACTAGAACGTCAGCTAGATATTCCAAACTAAGAAGAATGGCCTGTTGTTCGTACTGGAACAGAAGTATTCTAGTAGGATCTTCCTTTTTAGAAAAATAAAAATTTCGTAGTGGTTTTTGGATTGAACACTTTAAAGGTTTTAGTTTGGTTATACATTTCAGGCATTACATTTGATTTTAAATGGTTTTGAAGTAAAACGTATCAAGGAATTACCTGATAATAATTTACATGAACAAGCTTGCAAGGTTTCATTTATGGAATTTTCTTCCTTCTGAATTCAAAATTTTATCACAGATGCAGAATTATTGTTTTAGATGAATCTTTCAAAAAATTCTCATTTATTCTTTTTCGTTTTTTCTAAAACAGATCTATTTTCTGCTGTCATCATGATCACTTAATGATGTTCTTCATCGTATCACGGATTTTTGCGTCAAATCTTTAGACATTTCGTTGTCCTTTTGTTTGAATGCTAAAAGTATGAGGGCAATAAATGGTCTTATTCATTCAATTCTTTGAATTTTAATTACCGTCTCCAATCTCTTTACAAATGTTGAAAAATTTTTCTTTTCTTCCCATTTCCACGAATAATTTTTGTAGATTATGGATTCGATAAATACTTATTTGGATCGTCTAAATTTAGCAATTCAGTGCTGGACAATGGCGTTATTGAAAGAGAATAGTATAGAGTTCACAAATGACACTGATAATTTTCCGATATCAAATATTTGTTTACATCGTATTGGTCAGATTGATCAAAACGTATATTTATTACTTCATTTTTCATAAAAATTTCACTGACCCTCCTTTTTTTTCATCTAAATTTTTTATTAAATGTTCCTTTTACTTTGCTGATCAAAATATCAATAACCGTACTACAAGGTGAATTTAACATAACAAATTTGCATATTCACTTACCTCGTGATGCCATCTATTTCCGATTTGTTTCAAAAAGAAGGAGTAAAATTGATCTTATCCATGAGTCATATCGAATTTCCTATCCTTTTATTTTTTATTTGGAAATGGAATTAATCACGATGAATTTTAGATATGTCTAATTGTTTCATCGATTAAACCGTTGTCAACAACGACATTTTCATCTAAAAATTCACATGTAATAAATTTTAGTATAAACTGTCTAATCTTATTATCATATGCGAAAACTAGCTTAAGATTTCATTTAATTCAATTATCACAGTGATCGGGGAAAGATGATTCAATCATTAGAGGTAAATTATTCCGGAGGAGAGTTATTAAAGTTAGGTTATTCTAGAAGGTAGTTATTGGAGGTAAGTTATTTTAAACAATTAGAGGTAGGTTATTCTGTAGCATACAAGCTTGCCATACATTCACTTTACTTCTTCGACCTGGTACGATAATATCATATACAGCTACTGCAAAGAATATTAATAACATTGGTATTATTATCAATCAGCACTTTGATAATAACCTTAACAACGATATATATTCAGGTATTGGTTATGCATTCATTTAATTTGTCATCAGCTGATGGCATTATGAATATTAATATTCACCAACGTCATTTCCCTGTTCAATTTCATAAGCATTTACAGTACGTATGACTTTTTTCTTCATTAAATATATTTTTTTTTTCATATATTTATTAATTTAGTTTTTAAATTGTCCCCTAAATGTTTACAAATGTACAGCTCAATGAATTAAACGAAAGACAGACTGTTTTTTTCCTTCTTATTTTGTCACTGAGTATTCACATATTTCAAATATTTTAACTTCAACTTTTGAAAAGTGCTGATTTAACTACTTATTTTTATTTAATCCTTTTTTTAAAAGTTCATCTCATTTTAAGCATTTATCTAGGACAAGAATGAAATTATATACCTTAACTAATTTTAATCATAGCAATTACTCTTTTTCTTTGAAGATTTCATTTTGGCAATCAAAACGATAAAATGGATTTGATTTATGTATTTCACAATAATAACAGTTGCATGTATTGGTTTCCACATGGATGCAACAGTAGAATGGGTAAGGAATTTAGAAAAAGAAGTTAATGTTTTTATAATCTTTCTGATTATGATAATTGGCCTTTATCTTAAAATAGCGCAATTAATTAATCAATCAATTAATTGATTACTCATGTATCAGACTGACTATTTTACACGTCATAATAGATGAATCAAAATTGAAACTGATATCTTTCTACTTTAGCATAACCTGATACTGTTTAATAATATTGTGAAAATGTCTAAAAAAAAAGATGAAAAAAGTAACAGGTAGGTATGCGAAAGTTATGAGAAGTTTAGGTACACAAGTACACGTGAAACTATCGTATACGCCAAGTGATTATATCAATGAAACGAACAACCTTATTGTGTTGCAACTCTGGGATATACAAATTTCTCCACCACTACTCTTGGCACTCATTAAAAAAGCTGAATTAAGAGCTACTTCGGAATCGAATCAGAGCTGAATTATTTTCTTTCTTTTTTTTCATTCAATATCTGTCAGATAGTATTATCGGTAATCTTAAAACATTTATTCAAGGTCAAATTTCATTATTTAGTCTAACTTTCTTTTTGTTCCAGGATAGCAATATTATTGAAAATATTTGTGAAAATTTTTATTCATTGTAAATAGCAGTTCAGTGATAGTGATATTTACTGTAAGAATGTTAGTATTTAAATATCATTTTCAAAACAATAATTCAACAATTGTTACTTTACATTCTTCTCATTACATTTTCTTCCTCTGCTTTACCAGCTATGAGTTACATTATGCCCACGAATAATCATTTCGAATAATTAAATAGTTAATTATCAGAATTTCAAAATTTCCACTATCCATAACTTTAATGATATAATTACCTTAGATAAATTCAGACTGGAATTGTCGTCTTTCTCTTAAATTACATGAAAAAAAGAGTTTTTTAATTTTGTAATATTTACGATATCATTTGAATTTTAACATTTCACCGATTCCGCTTATTACTGTTAGTATGGTCTGCATGATATCTAATACATTCAATTTCCAAATTTAATTTTACGAACGAATCATAGTGGTTGATAAGTTGTAAGTTTTACTTTTCGGTTGTTTTTCAGTTTCCCTTTCTTTTTTCTTTTTTTCTTTTTTTGTGTTATCTACACATAGATGGTCAGTTATCCTCCCCATTCATCCCTACATTTATTTGTCTTGCTGATGCTTTAAAAAAATTTTGAATTTTATTATTTATGTAAATTTGTTATGACTACGTTCAAACTATTAACACTTGAAATTAAATTAGTTTCCTTGAAACTCTTATCTTTAAAGCATCATTTGTACATGTATCATAGTGAATAAATTTTTAAAATTGACGTAAAAATTTTTTTTGACAGATCGACACATATTAAAAAGGGTAACTGATTAGTAATGAGTTATGTGAGATTCTCAATGATAGATGTATGTCGCATATTGTGGCAATATTCTGAAATCTTTAGCGAAATGGAAGCAACAGATATTAAACCGGTAAAAATCAAGCAATTCTAAATCAGTGATAGAACTTGATATTTTACCACATCCCTTATTTGTAGGAGGATCTTATATCATCGAAAATAATAGTTTTACATTCCTTCCTATGAATTATTCAATCGAAGAATCAGGTAAACTGAAAAACAATTGCACATCAATTTGTCTTCATGGGTAATTCAACCCAAGAATTTCAAATTATTAATCGGAAAAACATTTTCGTATCCATCGGTTTTTACTGGATTATTCAACCGAAGAAATTTACATTAATAGTTTTGCATCCATTTTTATGGTTTATTCAACCGGATAGCTTACAATTACTGATTTCTTTTTTTTTATTCGAAAATAGAAACGAAGAAAAATCGACAAACATAATGTATACATATATGCACAATATGATGAAGCTCAGTATTTAGAACAAGGGATTATTATTTGTTATAACATTTTTTTCCCCTTCGTTTTTCTTTCTTTTTTTAAAAAAGTTTGAAAATTTCGTTTTTTTTTCTGGAATCATTAATCCAGCATAGTGCCAACATAATAAATAATTCCGAAACAATGAAATCATTAATTTTCGAGGTTGACGAAGTCATATGAATGATAATAATGTTTACCGAATATTTTTGAAATTTCTCGTAAAAACTGCATACATTTGGTATAATTGCAAGGATTTTTCTTTCTTTTCTAAATTTAAAATTTTAATTTTGAAATTTGAAATGATTAATGATAATACATTTATTGTCTACTTCAAATAAAATTATTTACAAAAAAGATTTGATATGAAAGAGTAACAAAAAAAAGAAGAAAGAACATAAGGAACTGAATATTAAAAAAACACTATCCAAGAAAAAAAGAAAATATCAAATATATGAATCCATATACAGTGCACAGTAAGTAATTTTCATCCAGTAGTAATTGTAATTATGAATCTAACATTATGATGAGAAATAGAATCACCAGCTGAATTGAATCACTTATCATGTAATCAATTAGTTAATTGACCAAACTTAATTAAGCTATTTAAGACTGATTATATTATCATTTCATCAAAAAAAATTAATTTAAACTAGAAAAAACACACACAAAGAAGAAAAAACAAGAAATTCAGACTTTGAGGTTTATTGCAATGAAATTGAATATTGTGATAAAATTGCAAAATTTTTTCTTATTTTTTATTTTTTATATATTTTTTTTTTTATTTCTAACAATGAGTAATCGCTTTAGCATTCTTCGTTGATAATTGAAGGTCATTGGATGAACTTAACGAATCGTAACTTTCTTCTGATACATAATCATCACGTATAATCTAAATAATCAATAATAAATAACAAAAGAATAGTAAAATTTTTTATTTTTAAATTTTCTTTTTTTTTTTTTGTTACAATAATATAATTAAAAGGGATAGTGTAATTTAAAAATAAAAAAAGAAAAAGTATGATGATGCCAATAACAAATTATGATTAGAAAGATTTAAAGGTTTAAAAAGATTAATAAGAAGAAAACATAACTCATAAATTGGAATAATTAATAAAATTATTGCAAATCATTGATATTAATTATATAAAATATTATTAATAGCTTTGGTCCTTTTTTTCCAATAATTACTCAATGATATAATTTTTGATAAGAAATGTTTTATCAAATTTAATGATAAAATTTTTATTTTTCTTAAATATAAAATTATATCAAATTTATTATAAAATTCCCAGAAAAAAAAACACTTATTATAGAAATTTATATATACATGCAATATTATTGCTAGCTTTCCTTCTTTTTTTCTTATAAATTTTAAAGAATTATCAAATTTTGAAATTTATCGGTACCGTTTGAGAATTGTCAGTTTTGGAATCATTAATTGTTTGATTCTGTCTAGCAACACGTCGTTTCAATTCTTCGTTCTCCTTCATTAATCGTCGAATTTCACGCTTTTGTTGCTCGATTATTTCCTAAAATGAAGAGAAATTATTTTTGAAATTAAATTTTATGCAATGTTTTTTTTTAAAATCACCTAAAATATTTTGATGATAAGCTTTTTTTAAAGCAAGAAAATCTTATCAATTCCATATGCACAAGTTCTAAATTATTTTAATATTCTGTATTGAAAGAATAACACTTCTTAAGGGTAATGATTTAATGATAGTGATATGATTTAAGGATAATGATATGATATCATAAGTGGTCATAAATAAGCAATGATCGTTTCATCCCGAATACAGACACAGATATATATATATATATATATAAAACTTTTTCTGCAAGTTCTCCTTAATTCACTTCAATTAATTAAATAAATTAGCATATGAGGTAATATAATAAATCGAAATTTTTGTCTACCTGTTGGCTGAGTGTCTGCAACTCTTTTCTTGGCCATTGCTTCATACCACTGAAAGAAGAAGAAATTAGGCCGAAAAAAATTTTAAAATTGCAAAATTAAAATACAGTCAATGATAAGGAGGTTAAATAAAGAAGAGATATTACTGTTGCCAAAATAGATTTAGCATTCTTTTACTTGTTTGCTAAAATGGTCATTTAAATTTTGATAAATTTTTCAAGTAACAATGATTGATTGAATCTTTAAACTTTTTTAAAAAGCATACCTTTTTAAACAATACATTACAATATTGCAACTAATTATTTGTGTAGGAAAAATAAATGTTTTCCTAATGATTCTCATTATTCAATCAAATGAAATTAGTTACTACTCTTCTAATTATTCTGACCATTTGAACAAACGAAATTACTACCTTCCTAATGATTATGACCATTAGAGTAAATCAAAAATACTGCATTCGTAATGAATCTGATCATTTGAATAAATGAAATTACTCCCTTCCTAATAAATGTGACCATTAAAGCAAATTGAAACTACTCCCTTCTAATGATTCTGACCAAACAAAACTACTACCTTCCTAATGGTTCCGATTATTGGTTCTGACTTTTGGAGTTACCTACATAATATTACTTACATATATGACTTACTTGATAAAATTCAAAACGTCTACTATTTAAAATACCATTTAAAAGAAAAGGAACAAATTTAAATTTGAATACTAAAATGATTAATTGAAAAATAAGAAAATAAAAAACCTTGTTCGTTTTTCGGTAAAGCACCATTTTGTACTACATTCTTTTGCAATATTATTATCGCCATCACCATCATCATCATCATTATCATCATCAATACCATCAATGTTATCCGCTTTATCATTATCGTAGTCATAATTTTTCTTCTTATTATTATTGTTATTATTATTATTATTACTATCATTATTATTATTACTACTACTACTGCTATTACCACAATCAGGAGATCTTGCTGGTACAGCTAATGATATTTCATTACCACCATCATTTTCGATATCAATTAATGTTGGTTTCAATATAGTTCCACTAGCCATAGCTGCTGTATTACGTGAAGAACAGTGTGGATTAGTTCTGGAAATGCAAAAATCCAAATTATACTACAATTTAGAAAAGATATTGGAAAAAAAATGAGGAAAGGTTAAAAAAAAGTTAAAACTTTGTTTTAAACGCAAACTAATGCTTAATCTTCTCGGTTAAAAAAAGAAAATATTTTTATTAAAGATGATAAATTTTGTGAAATTACAAATATATTTTAGAAAATTAAGAAAAAAAGGTGACAAATCTAAAATAAAAAAAATTAACTATAAAAATTACCTTGGCAATGAACATTTTGGTATATCATAAATAGCATTACTACCATTTATTATTTCTAAATTTGACGGATGTGCGGAAGTTTTATACATTGTGGACGGAGCGGAACGTACACAATATCGATCATTATCATCAACTAATGGTTTATCAGAATTTCCGGATGAGGAAGATGTTGACGGAATACATTCGTGAGCATTAAACATTGCATTGGATGGTTGCAATGTTGAATGATAAGTGGGATGATTAGTTTGTTTTGTTATACGCTCAACTGGACTGCTACTATTCGATGAACTCAAACTGCAGAAATAATGATCGTATCAAATAATTAAGTAATTGTACTAATAGAATACTTATTAATTATAAAGAAATATAAAAAGTGATAAATTGAAATATATGAAAAATTTGAAAAAAATAAAAGAATGGAAAAAAATCCTAAAATCCTTTTAGGTTACATCGAAAAAATCTTCATTACCTGCTACTATGATTCTGACTTTGATATCCACTAGATGAAGGTGCAACAATAGTATCCGGACATGTAACTGTTGTTTGTTCACGATCCATTGATGAAGCAGTATGTCGTTTACTTTTACGTGGTGGACGTGAATGACGAGAACGTATTATTGAAGACCCATGCGTTGTTTCATCCGAATCAGTATCTTCATTTCCACGACAACCACCAGTTGAATATTCGGATAAAATATTTGGTGATACGAAAGTATTATTATCAGGTGCTACTAACTTACTGCTAGCATCAAATGCAATAATCCTTTCACGACTTGCCGAAATATCTGGTAATGTTGTATACGGATTCCTAAAATTCACTTATATGATGCAGTTGTTCGAGCAAACGATTGACAGTTATTTTTTGATAATCTATCGTTTAACAATTCTCTAATACAATAAATATTTTTAATTGAATGTGTATAATTATAAAATTATTCCGTAAACAAAACAGAAACTCATCTTTCAATACAGAATTTCAAGTAAATTTGAACATAATATGTTAACTTTACTTGACAAATAAGCAATTGTCGTAATTTAAGTTAAACTTTCTGCTGTTTTCATATAAAAACGCGAAAAACTTCCGAAATTTGTATAATTCTATTATACCCACAGAATCTTAACCAACAGCAAAAATCATGAAGCAACAGCTATAAAATGAGGAAGTATTCCCATTTTCATTTGCAATAGCAGAATAAAACAAGCCTACTGCATCCTACAGTAATCTTACCAACAGCAGCAATATGACAGTTACAAGATGTTACAAGATGAAAAAACAAAAAACAAAAAAACAAAAAACAAAAAACAGTTACAAGATGAAAAACAAGCCTATTGTACCCGTAACCATGGTGCAGCAATATGATAGCTATAACACAAAGTGTTCCGATTTTTATTCCTAATGATAAAATAGAACAAGCCTACTGTATCCTAAGGTGATCTTTACCAACATTAAGTATCGTAAGGCAACAATATGAGAGTTATAAAACGAAGAGCAGGCCTTACTGTGTAGTACAGTAATAATTAACTTACAGCAGGCATTGCAGAAGGCAACAATGTAATAGCTATCAAGTAAAAAATATATATATATATATATATATATCCCCCATGTTTAATTCACTGCGATGAAATAAAACAAGTCTAATATATCCTACGGTAATCCTTGCCAACTATATGATAACAATGAAGTAAAACATCCTTTATCTTCAATGGCAAACTAAAATAAACAATAACCTTCGATTATGCCGTTCACAGGAAGCGTTTTCATTGAAACATCGCTGATTACGGTGATGTCCATTCCGGTGTTTCTGTACGGTTAAACCAGCTTGTCGTACTGCCAAACTATCATTCAATAAGGCTATATCTAATACATAATCATCATTTGTATTCAAATGTACTGCTGGCGTCGCTTTTGTAATCACATGTGATTCGCTTACTGTATTACGAATATGTGATGGAAATTTCGCATTATTACTGTGTGCATGCAACCTGAAAATTAATAATAAAGTTTCAAATTTAAATAATGCAAATTTAATATTGAAACTATATATGGCAATTGAAATCAATTAATTTAATTTGACTCATCATCAAAAAATAAGTGAATAAATAAATAAAAAGTTGAATCATAATAAATATAGGACAAGCATTTAGTATGCTAATGAAATGCTTGAATTTGTTGTATTACCTTGAAATATTTGTATTATCATAATCAGAAGGTGAACTGTCAATCGGTAACAATTCATAATCTCTACAACCATCACTTCGCATACGTATATAGCGTAATTTTGCTAAAATTAATCGCAATTCTGCCATCTGTGATCCATATTTACTAGCTTGTTCATGAATCTAAACAAATAAAAAAAGAAATTATAAACTACCATTGAAAATTAATCATTGTAATATTAGGTAAATCTAGTATTAGGTAAAACTATTAGATAAATTTTCTGGTAATATCAGGTAGATTTATTGGAAATATCGGGAAAATCTAACATTTTGCTAGTTTAATTTCAATATACTACAAAAATCCTCGCTATTTTTAGAAACAATGGAAAAAAAATCTCATATATTTTTTTCGTTCATTACCTTTTAAAGTTAATATAGTAGAAATATGATACATCAAAAATCTATCAGTCAAATATTATTTCGTAAATAAAAAGTTCAATAAATACCACCATAATTACGATAAATATTAATGTCATATATTTTACCAAAATCAAAATATTGAAGAATAAAAATTTATTGATTTAATTTTAGTTATAAATTCAAAAAAATTAAAAGTTTCGTTTTAATCCTCAAAAAAAAGGAATTAATAACAAGAAGATAAATACCTCAGGTGTCCATAATTCATCTAAATACGAATGCAATAATGATACTTCTTTTCCAATATCTACCGATATATTCCAATCATTTTCACCCGAATTTCGTTGATTGTTTGCTGGTGGTGTTGAAATTTTCATCAAATATCGATGCATATTATCCCATTCATGTTCAACAAATTCATTCATAAAATTCATATAGTGCTCTTTACCACCAAACTTCGTAAAATTTGCTAATGTTTGCAATGTTTTAGCGATCAATGTAAGATTACGAGCTGCATTTCCGGATGGATATTCGGAAATCTGGAAATAAAAGTTATAGAAAAGTGGAATGAAAACATCATATTGATGTAGTTCCGACAAATATATGAAATAATAATAGTGATAATAAGTGATAATTTCAAAATAATATGCATTGATACAATAAAAAGAGCATTTTCCTTTGAAAAAAAGATTGGAAAAAATAAAATGTGAATCGAAATTATCATTTATCAGAGAAGAAATCCTGATAAAAGAATTTAATAAAGTTTGAAATCAAAATGTTATTCATCTACTTTATAGTAATTCTGAAGTATTAATTGACCATACAAAAAGATGGCATGAAAAAAATCGTGAAATTATTGAAGAATTAAAACGACTGAAAAGTTTATTCCAAACTATTCGTAATTTAAAATGAGTTAAGTCTTTTCGAATGTAAAATTCGGTCAAAAGACCAAAAAAATAGTAACTTTAAAAAAGTTTGAAACTTTACTTACCAAATTGAACAAACTAGGACTAAGTATTGCTGGACAAAGAAATCGCAGGAAAATACTGGATGAAATTAATGTATCAGCAAGATCAAGTCGACCAACTTTTTCCAAACGTCTTCGTAGGGTAACAAAAATTTCACGTAATTCAATTGGAAATATTTCAGTACTGAAATAAAATATTTATTTTATATCGTATGATCGCTTAATTTAATTTTTTTTAAAATTAAATTAATGAATGAAAATTCTTAAATAAATTGAAATAAAGTCTAATTTTAAATAAAATTTTATTTCTAATACAAAAGTAAAGAGAATTAATTGGCATATTTTATGAAAAAATGACCAAAAAAAGAAATGAAAGTTTCAAATATCATGTTTTCTATTATTTAATTCTTAATTATAAATTTTAATAAATATTGTATATTTGGATAAATGACAATGAATGGATAAGAATATTTCGAATGTAACTGAAAAAAAGAAAACATCCAATTGAAATATTAATTCAATTCAAAACATTGAAATATGTTACAAATGAAAGAGATAAAATCAAAATGAATCATAATTCGTTGAAATTAAAAATGAAATATAAATTTAAAAAAAGAAAAAAACCCAACCTTGCTAATATTTTAGACCATGCAGTTTTAACATTTGTCACCAACTGATGACGATTCTTTTCTAATGTTATCACACTGATATTTGCCATTTTCAATGGATCTACCTCACAATCCTTATCAGACTGCTGCATTATTTTAACAAATTCACCAAGTGTATTCTAAAAATCATCGAAATAAAAAAGATGCTGTATTGTATATTATACTTCATTTTCACTTTAATTATATTATAAGTAAATAATTCCTTCACGTTATATGTACTTATTATTATTTATACTATCTGTGTTTAATATCATGTATTATTACTGTACATTTAATATATTTAATATAATCAAACTATATATTTTGATGTCATATATCATAATTATATATTTAATGCCGATAAATTTATATTTTCTCGATGTCATATATTACCACTGCATATTTAGCATAGTTAATATTATTAAACTATGTATATCGAATATCATATATCATAATTATATATTTAATATCAATAAACATATATTTCCTTGGTACACATGTATCATTGTATGATTATTAATAAGAGGAAAACATATAATCATATAGGTTTACAAAATTAATGAATAACTTTGTGTGAATGTTAATTTCTCATTAATTATCATATATTCATTTTCATTAGCAAAACAAATGATGTTAAACTGAAGCATTAGGTAAAAGTTAAATATGTTAAATAAAAGTGAAACTTTGTAGAGGATGATGAGAGACTTACTTGAAGATATTCATCCGCAACTAATTTCATATATGCTTCCATTGCTTTTGTTGCTAAGGAATTGCCACGAAACATTAAGTGTTCATTATCTGTAATTTAATTAGCTTTTTTTTAAAAAAAAATTGTGACCAAAATTTTTAAAATGATGTGAAAAAATTTTCAACATATGTGTTTCCTACTGTATACTACTGTACTTTTCTCTTACTACTAATTTAAGGTTAATAAAAAAAATAAATTTATGTCCACATGTTGAATTAAAAGATATGATAATGGAATTTTAAGCTATTATAACCAGGAAATCAAGCAATTCTTAATTAATTAATATTAAGTATAATTCAATCAACACTAAATCAGAAAAGAAATTCTGTAATCAAAAGAAATTTCTGGAATTTTATTAACTAAATACTAATCATTCCTTTCCTTCTTTTTTTTGTGAAAAAATTAATAGATTATAATAAAATACATTGAGTTTTATTCTTTCGTGCATTAAAATTACATTCTAAAAAAAAAGAGAAAAGAAAAAATATTTTAAAGAAATTGCGCAAAATTTTAAGTATAAAAACTAAAATTATCAAACGAAATCAAATTTTATTAAATATATTAGAAATGAAATTAAAATAATAAATTCATAATAAAAAAAAGAATACATACCAAGAACGTCCACTTCAGACATAATTAAATCGCACAAGAAATATTTAGCCATATGTAATTTGTGCATAATACGTACGAGTACTGTAGCCAAATCTTCCTTCGCTTTGACACTTAATGTTGGCTCCAAAACATGGCATAGTGATAAATAATATTGTCTAAAAATTTAATTCCGAAATTGAAAGATTCAATTTAAAATGTAAAACACAACTACAATCATAATTAAGGGAAGGAATAATTAAAAAATCACCTCAATTTTATAGTTATAACATTCAAAAAAAGCTCAAATTTCATATGTATTCTTAAAAAATTTAAAATTTTATCATTTCAAATTTAAAAATTTTTGTCCGATATCATTTTTCAACAAATTCCTTTTACATATTTAATGCTATATTTCGTTTTTTTTTGCTCCTCATTGTCTTATTCCATTTTATAATTATAATATTCAAAAAAAGCTCAAATTTCATATGTATTTTTAATTCTTTTTAACACACTTTTAAATACATACATTTTAATTCCTTTTTACTAAGGCATTAATTAATTAATTAAATTAATAAAAGATTTCGCAAAAACCAATGGATGGTATAAATTTTGGAAAAAATAAAAGAAAAAAGTTATGCATTGCCTCTTATCATTACTATTTCCTTAATTTTAATCAATCAATTATCATTTTAGGAAAGGAAAATGACTTACTTCATAAAAGTTAATAAATCAGTGTATGCTTGCATAGGTAATATTTGTACCGATTGATAACGAGCCTTAATACGTACTGCAGCTACCTCACCATTACCTTTATCTTTGATTGAATTTGATAATTTAGTACCATCTGATGTTGCCGTTACAGTATACCTGTAAAATTAATTAACTTTTACCTTTTTTTCACTTAATTTAATCAAAATTATGAAAAATTACAGTATCATAGTATGCTTTACTTCACAAATATTACCAAAATTTAAATATATTAAAGTTTTAAAATTCTTAATTTTTCTCAAAAGCAAAAAAAAGAAAGAAAAACCACTGAACAGTATGAATTATAAGAGAAGATAAGATGAATTTTAATTAATTAAAGTAAAATATTTTATGAAAACATTTTGACAAAAATTTTCATAAAATGTTTATTTTAGGAGTGAAAAAAATCAAATATAACAAAATTTTTTCTATGCCAAATATTAGATCTGATAGTAATATCAATTTATTAATAATTTTCGTTCCCCCTTCAACATTTATTTTTGAAATAATTAAAATTATATATCGAAATTAAAACTGAATACAAGAAAAAAATTGAATGCAAGTTTTAACCTTGTAAAAATTAAGAAAATGTAAAGGTTAATTAAAGAAAAAAGTCGAGGGAAACGGAAGAGGAATTGGTAACAAATTAAGATATTTAAAGTTGATTGACTGATTAATCAGCTAATTAATTAATTAATTAATTAGGAAAAAATTAGCAAGGCTGACCGATAATATGTTCCAAAAATGCTTCTTAATTTGAAGCATTTTTTATCAAATTTAATATTACACAATGGCCGGATAAAATGACAACGATTCAACCATGATGATGATGATGATGATGTTTGGGCGCAATTTTTTTGATATACTATCCAACATCGTCACTTCTGAGACTATCCCCAAAAAGTAAAAAAAAAGGATTCGATAATTAATGAAATTAATTAATAATGATTTTACAGCACGAAAAAACAAACAAAATTTATTAGCGAAATATAAGTTAAAGAAAGAAAAAAGAGAAGGATTTATTACAAATTACAAAATATAATTTCAAAAGAAAAAACGAAAAGAAAGAATTTATGTATTATTTTAGATTTTTTTTTCTTTTTTTTCTACCATACATATAAAGAAATATTTTACATGAAATTTTCAATAAATTTGAAAAATTCCCACATTTTAATTTAATAAATTAGTAAATGTAACGAATTATTGAATTATCAAATCTTTGAATGGAAAAAAAAGTATGGTAGCATACAGTAACATTTGATAAAATAGCATTATAACAAAAATTGGAATTAGCCAAATTTCATAGGAAAGAAAAAAAACAAAGAGGAGGCAATATATAATAAACACAGTAGGATTTTTAATAATTTGAATTAAATCATTGCAAATTTTAATCTTAAAATTTTAATAAAAAAGTAAAAATAGAAAAAATAAAGTGTTTATTGCGATATCATTTGTATTTTTAGGCATAAAATAATCGTTCAAAAATACAAATATAATAGGAATGAAAAAAATTATGAATAATATTTGGTAATTAATCTAATTAACGATGATTAATATCCCTTCATTTTTCTTCATAAATTTCACACCTTTTATTACCAGCAAATTAAAAAATAAGTGAAAGAACCAGTTACGAAAAAAAAGACTAATTAAGGCGAATATTTCGATAGTTAAAAAAAAAGAATTCATTGACGGGTTTTTTTTTAGACCATCAAAAAATACTAACATATTTAAGATATGGTAATAGTTCACCTTGATCAGTAACAAAAATCTCAAGGTAAAATTCGGCTATATATAATTGAGTGTAACAGTTATCATACGTATAACGCATAATTTCACGTTTTCATTTCGCGTTTTCTCATTTCACGTTTTTCTCACGCAACTTTCAAGATTTTCCTTATTCATTACAATGAGGATAACAACAACAACAGCAGCAAAACTAATGTAATACATCAATTAATTAAAATAATCAATTAACCGAGAATACAAAGAAAAAAATGAATGGAGAAATTGATTAATTGATAAGTAAATGAAAAAAATTATAATAAAATTAAATGAAATTAAATAAATCAGTAAATAAATTTTTGCGAAATAAATAAAGTGAAATGGATTTAAATAAACCAGCAAATAAATTTTTAATGCTTTGGAATGAAATTGAAAATGGTGAAAAAAAAGTACCAGAATAAATGAATAGATATATTATCTAACAAAATAAATAAATAAGTAATATAAATAAATAAATAAATAAACAAATAAATCAAAAAAATAAACAAACAAGAAAAAATAAAACATAAATGAAAATAAAAAAGAAGAATGAAACGAACAAGTGAAAATAATCAAGACTATTAATTATTTTTAATTTTAAATTAAATTATTTCGAAAACAAATTCCATTTCTAATTTAAACTATTTGATAGGAAATAAAATTTTAATTTTTAGTTTTCAATTTTTTTTATACACTATATATGATTCGGAAATGAGAAAGAGGATAAAAGGTAAACTTTGGTAAAATGTATATAGCATGGAGTTAAAAATGATCGACCTCGAACTATCATTTGTTGATTAACAGTCGAGGTCAACAATGATGACTGCCACCATTCATTCTAACACAGTTTCACTATCATTACATGGAAAGTTTTTTTTACCACCTAGTACCTAGTACCTAATATATCACCATCAATTTTTTTTTTTGCATCTTTTCACATATTGATATCAATTTGTCATCCATTATGACAAATTCACAAATCACCACCCACTCGTTTTGTCACCATTTTTTCTTTTGCTTCTTTCCTTTTTTTCCCCCCATCCTTTTTGGTTTGACCTTCAGATTAAATTAAATTTGCCAATAGAAGTGATGAAAAAATTCGTTTATCTGATTGGAATATTTTTTTTTAAAAAATAATCTTAATCAAATTTTAAATACCATAAATTTTGTTGTAATAATTACAACATAATAATCTATCATATATACAAAAACAATGGCAATTAATTAACCCTTAATTAAAATCGTAGAGAATGAGGAAAATTACCATAATAATCTCCAAAATTTATAATTTAAATGTATTTGGATTCTCTAAAAAATTTCATGGAAAATATTTGACATATTTTTTCTCTTTTTAATATATGCAATTATTGATAATGATAACAGTGATTAATTACGACAACAAAAAATATTAATAGCAAATTCGTATATAATTTGTTTTTGTATAAATTTGAAGTAAAATTACAATAACACTGGAAAAGGCATAAAAATTTTATGAACCGAAAAAATTATGCCATAAATTCCCGAAATTTCCGAAAACGTAAATTTTAATTGGTCCATTCCGGAAATGAATTTTTATTTGAGAAAATGAAAGAAAAAAGAAAAAACGAGATTTGAGGTTAAAATATATCCACTAAAATGCAATTAGGAAAAAAAAGAATGGCAAAAAATAAAAACAAAGAAGGATTGAAATAATTATAAAATAATATTACTACAAAATATAGCATTAGTTTTGACAAAAAAGGAAAAAAACAGGAAAAAAGGTAATGGAAATGGAGTAATTAATTAATTAATCGAAAAAGAAAGGTATAAGGTGAAAAAGGCAATGGAAATGGAGTAATTAATTGATCAGTTAGTTAGTAGCAACTATAATTTTCTACTAATTTGATTTCGTTTTTTTTTCCGAAAAAAGGGCAGTTTGTGTAATGCAAGGAAATTTCAATTTTTTTTTTCTTTTTTTAAAATGGTTCATTAAAAAGAAAATACATTTGAAGCAAAGTGAAAGAAAGGAAAAGTTGGTAAAATGAACATAAAAAGATAATTAGTATGTCACGATTTTACATTTCTTCTTTTTTTCATTGAAAAATTGAACAAATTAATAAAACAAAAAGAAATTAGTTTGAATGGATTAAATTAAAACTTTCACATATGCTCGTATTCTATCACCTATTCTTATCATAATCAGTACTATCAAATTTAAATTATTAAATACCGGAAATAAAAATTGTCAGAAATTACATATTATTCCATTTTTTTTTCACTCGCTTCTTTTTTCTCTTCAACATAAATTTTTTCCGCTTCAATTCAATTTCTTAATTCAGGATAGAAATTTGACATAAAAAAATAAAAAAAATTCGTTTTTAAAAGAAAATACGGAAAACAAGATTACATATTAAAAAATAAGATTTTATTGTCGCATTTTCTTTTTCCTTTGCATAATTTATTGTCCACATTTTCTAATTTAAAATTTAATTTATCTAAATCTAAAATACATACAAAATATTTCTTGAATTTTTTCCATCATAAAATTTCAACTTAAAAGTTGTAATTTGAAAAACCCTCCATAAATTATTAATTTTCATTAAATATCTCCGCAATTTTGAATTATTATTATTGTTGCAATTAAAATTTGCGTTCTAAATTAATGCTATAAAATATTATTTGAATTTCAATTTTTGTTTGAAAAAAACAGAAATTTGAAAACATCAGTGATGAAATTGTTCGCATTACATTGAAATAATTTTATCGTCACTAAATGAATAAATTATTTGTAATTTAAACAAATTTTTTTCTTCCATTTTAATATTAAACCTTAAAAATGAGCCAGAATTGTTGCCGGAAAGAAGTTTAGCACTTTGTAGTTTCATATTTGAAAAAAGAAAGAAAGCGAATTAAAGTTATTACAAGAAAAAAAAATTCATCGTAATAATTCAAAGTCATTTAATTCCAGTTTATTTTATTTAATTTAGTCAAAAATTTAACCCTATCACATTTGATCCAATTTTAATTAGTAGAAAATTACTCAGTCATTTCTCTTTCTTAGTATTTCTTCCTATTTATCAAATATAACTTGATGATAAAGTGATAAACGATCAAGTATGGTTAGATAGCTTTAATAATCTCGACAAATATTTCTAATTAATGAATAAAGTTGAAAAAAAAATTTTCCGTTTGGGTTAAAAAAATCCCCCTCGTTTTTCAAAATTTTAACACCCTACTTTTTTAACAGTTTACTACTGATTCACAAACATAATGATTATTACCATTTAATGACGAAATGATTATCACTATCACTTACTGATCGGGAAATGATTATTAAAATGATACTGTCGTCCAAGTTATATCGCTAGATCATCCGTTTCTTTTTTTTTTTGATAAAAATACCGGATTATGATTGCAATTACGGAAAAAGTCGAGCATTTATCGCCCAAACGATTTATATGATATTAGATTATCTTAAATTATCTATTTCAATCTATCGCCCGATTAAACTGATTTTAAATTTATGAAAAGTATCATAAAAAGTTTCAAAAAAATAAAAAAAGCGTTGATAAGGCTTAATTTATAAAAATAATTGCGAATTGTTGTGAAAAAAAAAGGAAAAACGAGGACTAATTAATTCGGAAGGACAAAAGTTTAACCAACATAATTGTCTTATTTCACATATCAATTTGATAACTACTCATTAAAAATATCACTTAATCAATAATCGGCTAATTAATTGAAAACAATATGAATTCTGTGAATGATCAAAAATAAATTATTTTTTTTCCTACCAAATAAATTTTTTCTAGCGAAAAAAAGAAATGCGTAGAATTTGTTGAAGATATTTGTAATATTTGTAAATTTCGTAGAATTTGTAAACTGTGCTTAAATGAACAAATCATAATGAATAAACAACAAATCCTATAAGCCGTAAAATTTTTTACGGATTGCCGGATTTGAAATTTTTTACGGATTGCCGGATTTGTTATTGGTTCATTACATAGATTTCTTTTTTTGATTTTTCCAATTTATTAAACGAATATTTTAATTAAGTTTCAACAAAACAAAAAGTTTCAAGGGAACAAAATTCCTTAATTTTAACAGAACAAAATTCTTGGATTTCAATAAAATAAAAAAAATTTTAACAAAATAAAATTTTCTATAGATAATTGAAAATAAAAAAGATAATAGTCGTATATTAAAATGGGATGGCAATCATATCAGGATGAACAATTTTACAAAAAATTCGCGAATAACGTTAAAAAAAAAACGTGAAAGGGAAAACATTTGGAAAAAAAAAGAAAACTGACATAAATTAACAAATTAAATTTCGGCAATTAATTATAGATGAAATAATTGACTGATATGCAGGAAAAAATGACAATATCATCAGCGATAAATTATAATGAGTACTGTAACAATCATTAATTGCATATGATTAATGAATTATCATTCATAAATTGTCATCAACAAAGGGTGGAAAAATTGATGAGGTAATTTCAAAAAGAAAAAAAAAGAACCAGTAAAATATGCAAATTGGGTCAAATTATAGTTTGAACGAAAACCATTGGTTAAATGGCATTATCGTAGTTCAATGAATAAATATGTATTCAACCAAAAAAAAAAACCATCTTTTTCGAAATTTAAATTTACAATTACCTCTTTTAAAGCTTGCTAAATCACTGATGACCTATAATTTATGCTACAATTACTATTCTATCCGTATAGTTCGAATGCTAATACTATAATAAATGATTTGAATTACTACTGTAATTTGTGACAGATTCAAAATTTTTTTAATTGATAAAACCAAATTCCATCATTTATTTGCTTTAGTTAGGTTTTCAAAAAAATTTCAGATGAAAATTGACATTTAATAAACAATTTTACACTTGTTATATGTAAGGTATGTTTAATGCTTAATTTTGACAAATTTAAATAAAATGGAATTTGGAAAATTATCAAATTAAATGTGAAAAAATTTTGTACTATTATATTTGATAATAATTAGAAGAAATTTTAATCAAACAAATTTATACCAAAATTTTTTAAAAATTTATGAAAAATATTCGACGACATTACATTCGAATTAATTGATAAATAACTTAAGTAAAATATTTGAATCCCTAACTTAATTACTTAAAATTTCATCAACCTTTTTTTACGTTGAAATAATACTATTGACATTTTTCTTTTTTTCTTTAGTGGAAATTATAAACTAGCAAAATTACTTTATAACTTAATAAATGTTTCGTTGATAATAGCAAAATATATGACTCTCGTTATGATATTTTTATAATCCGGATTATCCGGTGCAAATTAGTGCAGCTCATTTCCGGATATTATCCGTATATTTCATTGTATTAGCGTTTCAATATGAACTTTACAATTACATGCATTAATATTGTCTAAATTCATTTGCTGATTAATTAAGCAAATAATTAATGCTAAATTAAAAGTATGAAATAATAGAACAAAGAAGAGAACAGGAAAGTTGATCAAAAAATGATAAAGTTAATAATCATAAATCAAAGATTATAAAAATTTAGTAAGTAACTAAAAGGGATAAAATTTTGCAGAAATATTGAAATCTCATATTCATAAGGTTAAAAAAAAAGAAAAAAGTAAAATGAATAGTTTTAGAGAAATGAAAAGGAACAATTATAAATGGTTGAATAGAAGGAAAATGAATTGTTCACTGAAGGAAGTATATATCCGGGATTGATAATACATTTTGATAGTAGCAGATTAAATGATAATATTGGTGATAACGATGGTGTATCAAATAGTATCACTTAGAAGGTATTCTCAAATAGTATCACTTAGAAGGTATTATCAAATAGTATCACTTAGAAGGTATTATCAAATAGTATCACTTAGAAGGTATTATCAAATAGTATCATTTCGAAGGTATTATCAAATAGTATCATTTAGAAGGTATTATCAAATAGTATCATTTAGAAGGTATTATCAAATAGTACCATTTAGAAGGTATTAACAAATAGTATCATTTAAAAGGTATTATCATTTACAAGGTATATATAAAATAGTATCATTTAGAATGGATCACTGAGTATCCAAAATGATCAAAAAATTCCGAGAAATCTTCTAAGATATATATATATATATATGCATAGTTTGTAAAAGTTTTTTTTTCTTCCTTGGAAAAATTATTTATAAAAGGAAAACAGAAAAATTCACTTCTTATCATCACATCATATTTGATATGATACAGAGAGAGAGAGGAGGGGAAGAGAGAGAGAGAGAAGAAAT